TTCTCTTCACTGCTGACTAACCAGCCAACTAAGCTCTGATCACGGCTCCGTGACGTAGGATGCGGCCCTTCAACTAATTTGACTGAACTGCACTACACCATCAGTCACATGACCCCCGGTGCCCCTCCCACCCGCTGCCACCAGCCAAACAATGGAAACTGTAGCAGAGCGGCCAGCTCAGGACGCCAGGAGCGCAGTCAGTGCAAGGAGTGACAGACAGGCTGACGCGCAGAGTGAGCTCACAGCACCCTCGGGAGTGAGGACAGCAGGCACGGAACAGTGGATAGGCTGACAAAAGCCCAGACACCAGCACAATTTCCATTCACCATGGCAACCTGGCGCCTGGGATTTATCGAGCCCTGGAGTGTTTGGTTCAGGAAGGGAGGGAACTGGCAGGATCACCCGGGTTTGCTGGTATCCAGGAGTGCAGCATCCCCAGTATGAAGGCTTCTGTATTCCTATAAAGGAATGTATTATTAATTGATCAGTTTCCAGGGTGACTACACATTACACGTCCGTCCTGCACTGCATGTCTGCCTGATCTGGGTGTGCCCCCCCCCCCCCCCCCCCCGGGGCGTAGTGCTGTATATAGATGATTGAGCAGTGTCGGATGATGGGGGTCATGCTGATCTCTCCTGTGTGTCTCCATCACCCCAGGATCGGTGTCAGAAGCACAAAGAGAAGCTGCGTGAGCAGGAGGAGAACATCACACAACTGCGCAAACGTCTGTCCCAGGTGGTCAGGTCAGAGGAGCAGCGAGCAGCCAATCAGAAGAAAGCTTTCCTGCGTCTGATGAACCGGGAGCCTCGAGAAAACAACATCCTGGACCAGCAGTAGGTGACCCGACAGTCGGGCAGGAGAACCTGTCACACCTGTTTATTATTTAGGTCAGGAGATCCCGTCCAGCCCCTTCATGTACATCTAATATCTTTTAGGCCTCTTTCACCCGGGCGTTCCGTATGTCCGTCTCTCATCTGTCCGTTTACAGACACCCATGTATTTCTATGGACTAGCGGATGTAAACGGATGGTCATCCATTCATGTCCGTATCTGTTAACATCCGTTTTTTTGAACAGAAGAAAACCATTTTTCTTCCGTAAAAAAAAAAAAAAACAATGGATGAAAAACATGAAAAAATGGATGCAAAGTGATGAAAACAGAGGGGACACGGGAGTACAGAGGGGACACGGGAGTACAGAGGGGACACGGGAGTGCAGAGGGGACACGGGAGTGCAGAGGGGACACGGGAGTGCAGAGGGGACACGGGAGTGCAGAGGGGACACAGAGGAGTCACAGGAGTACATAGGGGGCACAGAGGAGACACAGGAGTACATAGGGGACACGGGAGTACAGAGGAGGCACAGAGGAGATACTGGAGTACATGGGGGACACAGGAGTACAGAAGGGAAACGGAGGAGTCACAGGGATACATAGGGGACACGGAGGAGTCACAGGAGTACAGAGGGGACACGGGAGTACAGAGGGGACACGGAGGAGTCACAGGAGTACAGAGGGGACACGGGAGTACAGAGGGGACACGGAGGAGTCACAGGAGTGCATAGGGGACACGGAGGGGACACGGGAGTACAGAGGAGACACAGGAGTACATGGGGGACACAGTAGTACAGAGGGGACACAGGAGTACAGGGGGGACACAGTAGTACAGGGGGGACACAGTAGTACAGAGGGGACACAGGAGTACAGAGGGGACACAGGAGTACAGAGGGGACACAGGAGTACAGAGGGGAGCTTCAAGAGAGATGGGAGCACACAGGGATCACTAAAGACACAGGATGGTGTAAGGGTCTCAGGAGTCGCTGGAGATACACAAGTGCATAGGGGTCACAGGGACGCAGAGGAGACTCAGGAGTTGCTCGAGATACACAAGTGCCTAGGGGCCACAGGGACTCAAAGGGGGTTACAAGAGTTGCTGAAGACACGGGCACAAAGGGGGTCACTAAAGAAATGGGGGTCACAGTTGTTGAATCTCTTGAGATGCTGGAGCGCTGGGGTCAGTGGAAGTCGAGAAGTAGGGGGCGTGGCTTAGTCATTGCCATTAAGGTGTCATCTGTTAGCTGGTTTGCTGCAGCCCTGGTTTCCTGGGCGGAACCTGGAAGTGTCAGGGGCCCGATGTTGAAGAGGAAACCTGGTGCTGGACTTGGGAGGAGGTGGGTGATAGTTACATAATAGGAATTTGGTGGTTTTGTGGCTCCTGAGGAGCTCCTGTGGGCTTCCTGGGCTCGGGAGGATCTCGGTACAACATGGCGGACATGGTAACACTCGGGTACACTTCGGGGTACAATAGTTCCTGATACTACACATATAATTACACTGACTGACGGGGGAGAATTCTGGGCTGATTTCACCATCTCCATGTTTGTGGAAATTATCGGAACATTACTTGAATTTCTCCTTCTAATGTCTTCTTTTCCTTCTTCAGGGTTCTGGATGTGATTGATGACTATGAGAGGCGAGTGAACCAGCTACAGACTGAACTGAGGTATCTGCTGGGTGTGTGAGGGCGCCCTCTGCTGGAGGGGTGATGCATTGATAGCTGATGTATGATATGTATGTGCTCTGACATGGAGGAACCCCGGGGCAGTGGCATGTTGGTGTCTTCTGGTCATCAGAATAGATGTTTCTGTTTTATTTCTGACCTCCAGCCTTCACTCTTCTTCTGCACTTGTGAGAAACACGTGGATACACTCTTATTAGGTCTGATCAGCAGATAGCACAGCTAAAGTCTGCAGCATCCAGTGGCCAGCAGGGAGGAGCATGCATGTTTAACCATTAACCGCCCAGCCAATGGCCGTTTGGCGGCTTCAGAAGTGCCTCTCCATTCCGGGTGCACGCCATTTGGCGTGCTCCCGCACATGCGCCGTTTGCGCTAATGCAGAGCGGCGCAGCAGTGCAATCTGTCACCGCCCGTGCACCTCAGACACGGCCAATGACAGATCCGAGTACCGGCTCCCGTTGCTGGTACCATGTGACCTGCTGTGACCAATCACAGCAGGTCACATGACAGTTGTATACATGGATGGCTTCATTCATGATGCCATCCATTGTATACTAGTGCCTAGCTGTGAATGGTCACAGCTAATCACATGCACATGTCATGTGATTAGCTGTGACCAAATCACAGCTAAGCACAAAAAAAAAAAAAAAAAAGCTGAATGAATCGATTTCATTCAGGTAAATGCTTGCTTATAGCAAAGTAATTCTTTGCTAGAAGCAAATTGTGTAAAAAAAAAAAAAAAAAAAAAAAAAATACTGATCACTTCCCCAAAGTAGTACAGTGTTACTATGGTAACATTGTACTACTTTGGTCATAGTAAAATATGAAAAAAAAATCTTAAAAAAAAAAAAAAAAATAATAATAAAAAATTAAATATAATAAAAAAATTAAAAAAATATATATATATATATTTTTTTTTTTTCATACTGTCACCAGTCAGTGTCCCTGATCACTGCCATGCCAGTTATATGATGACGCTGTACTGCACTGGTGACAGTATGTAAAAAAAAAAATAGTGAAAATAATTTTTTTAATTTTTTCATTTTCCGAAAAATTATGACAAAAAAATACATCTTCAAAAAACTTGCCATGCCTCTTATGAAGTACGTCGGACTGTCTACTCTGCAAAAAGGGGTCATTTGGGGGATATCTGTACTATTCTGACATTTGGGGGATATCTGTACCGTCCTGACATTTGGGGGATATCTGTACCGTCCTGACATTTGGGGGATATCTGTCCTGTCCTGACATTTGGTGGATATCTGTACCGTCCTGACATTTGGGGGATATCTGTACCGTCCTGACATTTGGTGGATATCTGTACTGTCCTGACATTTGGGGGATATCTGTACCGTCCTGACATTTGGTGGATATCTGTACTGTCCTGACATTTGGGGGATATCTGTACTGTCCTGACATTTGGGGGATGTCTGTACTGTCCTGACATTTGGGGGATATCTGTACTGTCCTGACATTTGGGGGATATCTGTACTGTCCTGACATTTGGGGGATATCTGTACTGTCCTGACATTTGGGGGATATCTGTATTGTCCTGACATTTGGGGGATATCTGTCCTGTCCTGACATTTAGGGGATATCTGTATTGTCCTGACATTTGGGGGATATCTGTCCTGTCCTGACATTTGGGGGATATCTGTACTGTCCTGACATTTGGGGGGTATCTGTACCGTTCTGACATTCTTGGACCTCAAGAAATTAGATTGGCTGTCAGTACTTCAGGATTGATCAATATTCATCTATCCCATAGTTTGTGAACTCTATAACTTTCCTACAAACTAAATAATACATCCTAATTTGGGTTATTTTCACCAAAGACATGGAGCAGAATACATCTCGGCCTAAATTTATGAAGAACAATTATTTATTTGTAAACTTTTATAACAGAAACAAAGAAAAATGTGGGGTTTTTTTTCAAAAATTTTGGTCTTTTTTTGTTAATTTAGCAAAAAATAAAAACCCCAGCGGTGATTAAATACCACCAAAAGAAAGCTCTAGTTGTGTGAAGAAAATGATAAAATTTTAGTTTGGGTACAATGTTGTATGACCGCACAATTGTCATTCAAAGTGTGAGAGCGCTGAAACCTGAAAAATGACCTGGGGGGCAGGAAGGGGGGAAATTGCCTGGTATTGAAACGGTTAAAGGGACGTTGAGGATGTGTTCTTTCATATAATTTCTGGAAAAAGCATGCTGGGATGTTTTTGTTCATATAATGCTCAAGGCAGAGTGCTGTGACATTTACAAGAGCCTACCAGCCCCTTCCACCAAGCTCGATCTTACTACAGAGCGACAATTGGCAAAAACCCAGAAAGACCCAGGGATTGACAGAGGTATTTCATCAAAGCATGTTGATGTTGATCATGTGGGGGTGGAGAAGATATTGTATGCATACAAAGAAGGAGATGCGTATTTGCTCCCCCCTGATGCTGAATGTTCGCCCCTCACACAGAAACGATCGGTCTAACAATGGAATGTTGGCCCCTCACACAGAAACGATCGGTCTAACAATGGAATGTTCGCCCCTCACACAGAAATGATCGGTCTAACAATGGAATGTTCGCCCCTCACACAGAAATGATCGGTCTAACAATGGAATGTTCGCCCCTCACACAGAAATGATCGGTCTAACAATGGAATGTTCGCCCCTCACACAGAAATGATCGGTCTAACAATGGAATGTTCGGTGTAACACTGAGAGACAGAATACAACAACAAATTCAGCAGAAATGCGTCTAACAAACAATGACTGATCTGCATGTTCATGAGGGAAAGAAGGATTGGATCCCCTATCATTCAGCAGGATTTCTGGCTCCCAGGTGTCTCTCATACAGGTAACAAGCTGAGATTAGAAGCAGTCTCTTAAAGGGAGTGCTGCTAATCTCATTGTGTTACCTGTATAAAAGACACCTGTCCACAGGAGCCATCAAACCATCAGATTCCAAACTCTCCACCATGGCAAAGACCAAAGAGCTGTCCAAGGATGTCAGGGACAAGATGGTAGACCTACACAAGGCTGGACTGGGCTACCAAACTATGGCCAAGCAGCTTGGTGAGAAGGTGACAACAGTTGGTGCAATCATTCACAAATGGAAGAAACACAAAACAAGTGTCAGTCTCCCTAGGTCTGGTGCACCATGCAAGATCTCACCTCGTGGAGTGTCAATGATCATGAGAACAGTGAGGAATCATCCCAGAACTACACGTGAGGATCTTGTCAATGATCTCCAGGCAGCTGGGACCCACAGTCACCAAGAAAACAATTGGTACCACACTACGCCGACAAGGACTGAAATCCTGCAGTGCCCGCACGGTCCCTCTGCTCAAGAAAGCCCATGTCCAGGCCCGTCTGAAGTCTGCCACTGAACATCTGAATGATGCCGAGGAGGACTGGTGGGAATTGTTGTGGTCAGAGAAGACCAAAATCCAGCTCTTTGGCATCAACTCAACTCGCCGTGTTTGGAGGAGGAGGAATGCTGCCTATGACCCCAAGAACACCATCCCAACTGTGAAACATGGTGGTGGAAACATTCTGCTTTGGGGGGGGTTTCTGCTAAGGGGACAGGACAACTGCACCGCATCAAAGGGACGATGGACGGGGCAATGTACCATCAAATCTTGGGTGAAAACCTTCTTCCCTCAGCCAGGGCATTGAAAATGGGTGGTGGATGGGTGTTCCAGCATGAGAATGACCCAAAACACACGGCCAAGGCAACAAAGGAGCGGCTCAAGAAGAAGCACATTAAGGTCCCGGAGTGGCCTAGCCAGTCTCCAGACCTTCATCCGATGGAAAATCTGTGGAGGAGCTGAAGGTTCGAGTCGCCAAATGTCAGCCATCAAACCTTAATGACTTGGAGAGGATCTGCCAAGAGGAGTGGGCCAAAATCCCTCCTGAGATGTGTGCGAACCTGGGGGCCAACTCCAGGAAACGTCTGACCTCTGTGATGGCCAACAAGGGATTGGCCACCAAGTACTAAGTCATGTTTTGTGAAGGGGAGCAAATCCTTCTTTCCCTCATGAACATGCAGATCCGTCATCATTTGTTAGACGCATTTCTGCTGAATTTGTTGTTGTATTCTGTCTCTCAGTGTTACACCGAACATTCCATTGTTAGACCGATCATTTCTGTGTGAGGGGCGAACATTCCATTGTTAGACCGATCATTTCTGTGTGAGGGGCGAACATTCCATTGTTAGACCGATCATTTCTGTGTGAAGGGCGAACATTCCATTGTTAGACCGATCATTTCTGTGTGAGGGGCGAACATTCCATTGTTAGACCGATCATTTCTGTGTGAGGGGCGAACATTCCATTGTTAGACCGATCATTTCTGTGTGAGGGGCGAACATTCCATTGTTAGACCGATCGTTTCTGTGTGAGGGGCGAACATTCCATTGTTAGACCGATCATTTCTGTGTGAGGGGAGAACATTCCATTGTTAGACCGATCATTTCTGTGTGAGGGGCGAACATTCAGCATCAGGGGGAGCGAATACGCATTTCCTTCACTGTATATTACACTCCAGCTTTAAGGTGACATAGGTTGTGCATGCTGGAGGGATTTCTGACACCTAGAAGGGCCCCGCTGGGATCCCAGGAGGTGTAGCACATACCGCCTGCAGGGGGCGTAGTGCAGCCAAGACAGATGGAGAGATGTTGGTTTCCATGACCTGGATCCATGGTGACGGAGATGTTTATTACATACAACCCTCTCCAGGGACCTCATTAGTACATTATGCTGGTACAGCAGGATTGCATCATGGGACCTGCTGTGACCTTCTTCGCCCCGCCCCCAACTGTCATTCTTCACATTGCAGGTCTGTACAGTAGGGACTGAATGGTGATACATGGACCGTAGGGAACGCTGGAAGACCTCTACTGACTCCCAGAGTTATTATAGTGCCTAGAGAAGGGAAATGACTAGGACTGGGACAGCTGTGCATGAGAGCCAATCAGCTTCTGCCTTTCAT